GGCCAGGGTGAGGTTGACACCAGACCCCAGCGTGTCAGTGTCTGACCTGATGAAGGCCTTTGAGACCTTTTTCAACCATGAGGGTATGTGGGACTTGAGGAAGCTCTTGCTAGAGCATGGAAGGTGCCCAAAGTCATGGAAGACCAGCCCTGATGCTTCGTACCTGTCAGGGCACATGGCTGCTCTTTGCACCCAATTGTTCAGGGTGTGCCCAAATGGAGTTCTGTCTTCCAAGAAGATCAAGCAAAGCCTAGAAAAGCTTCAAACAGAAAAAAAGAAGCGCCTCAACCACTCCAGCACTTGTGACCCTGACTTTTGGGACTCTGTTGACCAGACTGTGCGCATCGCAGCCGCCCAGTTCAGGGACTTGAAGGGTTCAGCAAACAAGTATGCTGCCTGCATAAGAAAGGCTTCTGCATCTGAGAAGAAGGCCATTGATGCAGTTTTGGACTGCCTGGAATTGAAAAAGGTGGAAGGGCAAGAGGAACAGAAAGGCAGCACAGAGAGCTTGGAGGCAGAAGAAGAGGAATCGAAGAAGAAGGGCTTGGAGGCCTTGGAGGATCAAAGCCCAAAAGGTGACAAGAGGCCTATTTTGGCACCAAAGATTTTTGCAAAAGTCTTGCAAAAGCGGGCCAGTGATGCTTCCACTCCTGAAAAAAGGGTGAGAAAGAAGCAAGCTGCAAGCTCTTGGAATGCTGTGGCAGTTGCAGGCTCTGCACCTGCTGAAAGTGAAGAGTTGAAGACTTGGCTTGAGCAAAAGGCAGTTCTGGTGTCAAAGCCCAGGAACAAAAAGGCTTGGAAAAAGCCTGAAGCCAACATTTCAGGCAAGGCCAACTCCGACAGCCCAAAGGTCAACAAAAAGCCAGCTGTGAAAGCTGTGAAAGGGGCACAGAAGAAGAAGTCGACCTTCAAGCATCGCAAAACTTCGACAGCTTACCACCAAGCTGTCAATGCTGCTAAGAATTCTGGAATGGATGCCGATGAAGCCAAGGAGATGGGCAGGCAGGCAGCACGAAAGATGGCAGCTGACATCGACAGTGGCCTGGTGACAGAAGCCAAGTGATCTGCGCCTTCGATGGAAAAGCAAGAGCCATATGCATGCTTTGCAGGAGTTGCTTTTGCGTGGGTTGCTTGCGCATGGGTTACTTTTGCTTGTGTTACTTCTGCAACGGCTGTCGCTTGTGGAGTTACTTGTGCAGGGGTTACTTTTGCTTTTGCATGAGTCACTTGGCCCATTTCAATGTTCTGTGCTTTGGCAGCTCAAGCACACTCATGTGCAACACAAGTGTCAAAAGCAACAAATATAAAGAGCAACACTACAACAGTACACTACACAAATGTAAAGCAACAAATATAGAACAATGAACTTGACCACTCAACAAAAGAGCAACACTACACATATGTGGCACCATGCAATATGAACCTTGACACTGAAGTCAACACTGAAACATGAACATTGAGACTACAATGGGTTCCAAACAAGCACAACAAAAGCAATGCCTAGCAGAGTTTGGCCCAATGGGAGGCTCTATGTGAGGAACCTGCCTGGTTGGTGGAGGTGGAATGATGTGGAAGCCTGGGTGCTCTCCTTGGACATCCCGAAACCTGCTTGGCGCAAGGCGTTTGAAGGGGAGGACTTGTCGAGTAGCTACATTCACTGGCGCAATGTCACTGAAGACCCATGAACAGTATGTGCATGGGGCGCACAAGAAGGTCATTGCAAGAGGGTCTTTGGACTATGGGCCCCAGGGAAGGCTAGCTCTTTCGGGTCCTCCTCTTCCTCCTCCTCCTCCCCCTCCACCACCTCCTGAAGAAGCAGAAGAAGGCCAAGAGGCAAAGCGCAGAAAGACTGAGGAGAAGCAGGAGCCTGCAGAGGAAGAAGAGGTACAGGAGGAAGAGGACAATGAAGAGATGGCATGGTACAGGGAAGCTGCAAAAGAGGAGGTTGGAGAAGAAGCGCAAGAAGGTGAGGAGACAGAAGAGGCAGAAGAAGAAGCAAAAGAAGGTGAGGAGACCCAAGAAGGTGAGACCACCGCAACTTGGCTTTCAACAGTATTCTTCTGAGGGAGTTACTTGTGCAAGGGTTGCTATGGGTTATTGTTGCTGGTGTTGCTTGTGCTTGAATTGCTTTTGCTTCTGCTGGTGCCTTCTCTGTCCTGAGCCTTTTGTATGTTGCAGCTCTGGCCCAACATTGTTGCCAACATGGCTGGTCACATCGGGTCCTGTCGTGGCCAGGGCCGACAATGGCCTTACCATGGCTTCAGGAGGGGCATCAACCTAGCAGGCACATGCCCCTGCTGCTCCCTGCCTGTGGAATGCCCACTTTGCCTTGTAGCTGGGTTAGAACTCTGACTTAGCTGTTTGTTTGTCCTTCATGACTCTGAGTGACTCATGAGATACTTGTATGCTTACTTGTTTGTACTTCATCTCAGGCAGAGATCTCGACTGGGTTACTTGGTTGCATTTGGTGTTGCTTTTGCAAGGGTTACTTTGAGGTGTGTTCTTTGTGCCACGGTTACTTTTGTAGGATTCTGTCTGTTCCTGTGTGTGTGTGTTTACAGCTTTGTCCCTGCCATCCAAAGTGCAGCCCAGGAAAGCCCAACCAAAGTCGCCAATGTGGATGAGTGAAGGAGAATGGTGGTTCAATGTTCCTGAAAATGAGGATCTGGCAAAAGGTAGCAAGGGCAAAGGGAAATGGGTGGTGCCTGTCAAAGGCAAGGCTGCCAAAGGAAAGGGCAAGCAAAAGGGTAAGACCAAGCACCTTGGCTTCAGATATTATTTCTGCAGGTGTTACTTGTGGAAGTGCTACTGTTGCTGGAATTGTACTTCTGAAGAGCCCCTCTGTGTGGGAACTGTCTTTCTGAAGAATTTTTGTTTGATGGTTTTTGACTTTTTGCAGAACTGGAACAATTGCTAAGGGAAGGAAAAGCAAAGTCAAAAGCAGCCCCTGCACCTCACTCTCTCACTCACTCACTCACTCACTCACTCACTCACTC